CCCCAAAACCCCAAAACCCCATGACCCATAGAAATTTAACAAAGGCAATAATAAATAATATAAATATTAAGAAATAAAGAAGATTTTCTTTTGCTTAATCTAAAATTCACCATCAATATTAAATAGAACAAAATGAGCTCTTAGATATATCTAAAGCAAGATGATCTTGCAAAATATCATTCAAAAGCTCTGATTTTATATGATAATACTTGCTAAGAAATAAAAGTAATTGAAAATAACTCAGATAAAGTTTCCAGAGTGAACTAATCAATAGAAAACCATTTCAAAAAATCATTAATATTAATCAAAAACACGATTGGAAGCACAGAATAGTTCTAAAAACTACTCAAGGCGACTATTAAGTTAATAACCTCTACTGTAGATGATGAACTAAATGATTGGCTTAACTAACCCTTTCATTCAGAAGACAGTAAAGATCATAAGAACCAATTTTCGTTTAATAGACTAGTATTTACCTATTAGATAGCAAAAATTGATTAAAAATCAATTAAGGCTAACCCTCCTCAATAGATATTAAGTAATAACTCATTTGTAGCACCTTCAATCGAAGGTTTTCACTAATTTAACACTGTTAACAACTCTTTGGAACATTCATAAACATTACCTTCTAATACTGACTTATAAATTAGTTCTAATGAGATAAATAATCACTAAAGAGATATTTAGGTCTAAATTTAAGAAATACTAGCCATAAGCTAAAAAACTTTTCATAATACTGTTAATATAGATAGCAAGTTACAGAAAATTACTTCAAAATTAGATCCGCAATAATAATCAACTGCGTTAAAAACTGAAAAAGAGACTCAAAAAAGCAAGAGTATTAGCAAGCTCACTGATCAAGATTATTAATAAGACTCTGTGATGAAAGAGAAAGTTAGACAGAAAGTCAATTCTAAGTCATATGATAGTAGTGATAAATCTATAGAAGAGAATAAATCCTAATTTCAATCTCGTAATTCTTATAATAATCCTAAGAGGCTAAATTCTCAAGAAGACAAACAATCGCAAGTAAATAATCCATATGATAAAAGTTTCGAACATAGTCAGAGTTTCAAACACCAAAATGATTTGAGTATGGAAAACAAAGGATTTCAATTGAGCAATTAAAATTATGAAAGAAGAAAGAGCTTATAAAATGCAGATACTAATCTATAGAAAATTGAACTTCCAATCAATCAGATAGTCAAAGAAAGTTATATAGTGGCATCATAATAGGACAATTAGAAAGAGCTAAACAAAAGCATAGAAAAGTATATTACTGCTTCATCATTGTAAAATAGCTTGGAGATTATCTCAATAGACCCAAAGATTTAGAATGGATTGAAAAAAGTTAATAAACCTTTCTAAGAGTTTTTCAGTAATTGCAAAGAAAGCTAGCAATTGCTTTAACTCAAAAGTGATAAAAAATAGACTATTTTAGACATCAATTTATGTGATGGAAATGTGCTCATGGGGTAAAACGATGTGTTGATATAAACATATAACAGTCAAGATTTTTCGTATTAAGGTGATTTATAGATTTCATCAGAACCTATTTCGATTCTAATCCATCTAGGATATATCTATTTGGGGTTGAATAATGAAATTGTGGCGGTATACGATCAAAAGGAATATAAACTAATAATAGAGATAAAAACAAAGCAAGTTCCTATGAAGATTCTACCTTACATGAATCAAGATTTCAAAAATGATCTCGAATGCTAATATCTTTTATTCCTAGAAAAAGATGGGTTTATTGAAATTTTCAGTATCTTGTAATAGAAAATCCTCATTAGTCACTAGCACTCTTGCGGAATGAGTATATAGGATGCAATATAGGTTGCTAATAAGAATTAAGTATGCTTAGGGTTCGCATAGTTAATTGATAATGTATACAAAGATGGTAAACTTGCTTTTGTTGAAATTAAGATATAAACTGATGATGATTAAAGATAAAATCTCAAATAGCTTAACTAGATATAAAAGTAGCAGATTAGAGTAAAAGAGTTATCAGAGGAAGATAACTTCATACAATAGTCAGTTTTTTGCGTCTAGTAAATTTCATTGAATTGCTTTGTTGTCTGCGTAATCGATAAAA